TGTGATGGGAGTCACCAAGAACACAGATGTGAGTACTTAGAACAGTACAGGTACTGAAAATACAGATGCTGAGTCATTGATATAACGTTGTTTAATGAGTACTTAGACTAGTGCTGGAACTGAAAACACAGGTGTTGTGTGATTGATATAACGTTGTTTAATGAGTACTTAGACTAGTGCTGGAACTTAAAACACAGGTGTTGTGTCATTGATATAACGTTGCTTAATGAGTACTTAGAACAGTACACTTCAATGAGTATTTGTACTAGTACTGGTACTGAAAATACAGACGTTCTGTCATTGATATGACGTTGTTTAATGAGTACTTAGACCAGTACAGGTCTATGGGTACTTTTCTAGTACTGGTACTGAAAATACAGGTGTTTTGTCATTGATATGACGTTGTTTAATGAGTACATAGACAAGTACTGTGTGTGGTTGGCGGGTGCTCTTGTATGGTTTGCTTCTTCTTTCCTATCACACATCTATCATCCTTATCTCCCCTTCTTCATTTTTTTTGTTTGTTACTCTCTTGTAACACCTCTAATCTTCTGACGCTCATATTATGACCTTATGCAGTTTCGAGCGCTGTTAAACGTCTACTAAAACTAAAACTAAGACAAGTACTAGTACTGAAAACACAGGTGTTGTGTCACTGACATGACGATATGACGTGTTGTGTTTTTGTTCTGTTCAGATGATCTGTGACGGGGCCCGTGTGTATGCCAGCAAGATCCAGAACATTCTGGAGCGGAACTGTTACTATGACAAGAACGAGGGTCAGTTTGACGTCACAGATAGAGTGAGTAAACGTGCGCTCTTTGCTCACTTGGTTCTTTTCTGCAATGCATTTCTTCTTTTTTCATTTGTTTCTGCACTTTTGCCCTCTCTTTCTTTCATTCCAGCTTTGCTTTTTAATTTTTTCTTTCCTTGCTTCTTCTTTTCATATTTCTCTTTCTATTTTCTTTTGTAAACTTTTGTTGTTTGATAGTTAGGATCTTTGCTTTAGAAGTATTACAATAAAAGTTTGGATCCTGAAAATAGAAATGAGCAGAGCAAAAAAGAAAGGGAAAAAATGAGAAACATAGAAATGGCCATATTTAAAAAAATAAAAAGCAACAATGAGAAAAAGAGGAATAGGTAGAGTCATTTCTTTTTTTTTTTTAATGAGAAAAAGAGATGTAAGCAGGGTAAAATGAAATAAGAAAATAATATTAAGAAGTTGGGATCCCTTGTAAGGAAGACAATGATATTTTTCACATAATTAGTCAAGAGATCTTTCTTTATAATCTTTTGCCTTTGATTGATTACCTTTGAGACACAGAATCAGCTCTAGATCTAAGGCTGAAAGTATACTAGAGTTCAAAATGGTCTGTGGCGACTTTTGGCATCTTTCTTTAGGCACACACACACACACACACACACACACACACACACACACACACAACCCCCCCCAAAACCTTAAGATGGAAAATCTTATGAATTGGCTCTGACTCAATTAGATTTAATCCGATTGCCAATGTGCACAGTGCTTTAGGCAGTATGAATACGGCGACTTGTTCGGTGCAGAGTGACTATCTCTTTTATCAGCCATGCACACCGCCATGTCTCCTTGATGACACTAAGCAGGCTGTAATCTCACGCGTTTTTTAAACGTTGTTTGTTCTGGCACACCCACATAAAAACCTGCTCCTAAAGTACACCGATAGGATAATGTCTTCTTGTGCTTTTCATGGGACATCGAATGAGGCAGTTAAAGTAATTGAGACACTGAAAAACGCATCAGATATCAGAGGCTTCAACCTTTGGACGTTAGTTAGACAGAGAGAGAAAGAGAGAGAGAGAGAGAGAGAGAGAGAGAGAGGGAGAGAGAGAGAGAGAGAAACAGACA